TTTCCGTTTATATTACCGATGGAAGATGTACACAAAAACCGCTCTATTCCGGCTGAAACGTCGATATATGCAATAAAAACAGAACTTCTTCCCTTTTCAATATCTTACTCAGTATTTTAACGAGAAACAAATAGTTGATTGAAAATGAAGTATTTAAGGTTATAAACTAATCAATTATGTGTTTGCATCATTTTTATCGTAAATATAATGAATTAATACCCATAAACTGAAAATTCACAAAAACGTGAAAAACGGCAAAATATTGCCTAATTCGATGATATTTTGTTTAAATCACATAGAGGAAAAGGGGGATGATAAACGTCAAAATATTGCTAAATTCGATGATTTTTCGTACGAAACAAAATGCAAGAAAACTTGCTTAAAATGCAATATTATGCGACATTCTGAGATTTGAAGGCCAAATCAGATATCGTGATACTACATGAAACAGTATCGAAATATTGGTAAAAATGAATATATTTACGTAATATCAAACTACATGATTAACGTTAATAGGTCACTATTTTACCATATTTGAGGATTTTAATTTCAAATCATAGAGCGAGGTTTCGTATTATTTAGATCCAAGAAAAGACATATGACAATGTTGTTTCCAATACAGATGATAAAACCAATGTGTTTTCATTAGAATTAACTAAAATGTTCATGATTTTCCGTTTATATTACCGATGGAAGATGTACACGAAAACCGCTCTAATCCGGCTGAAACGTCGATATATGCAATAAAAACCGAACTTCTCCCCTTTTCAATATATTACTCAGTATTTTAACGAGAAACAAATAGATGATTGAAAATGAAGTATTTAAGGTTATTATCTAATCAATTATGTGTTTGCATCGTTTTTATCGTATTTATAATGAATTAATACCCATAGACTGAAAATTCACAAAAACGTGGAAAAACGGCAAAATATTGCCTAATTCGATGATATTTTGTTTAAATCACATAAAGGAAAAGGGGATGATAAACGTCAAAATATTGCTAAATTCGATGATTTTTCGTACGAAACAAAATGCAAGAAAACTTGCTTAAAATGCAATATTATGCGAAATTCTGAGATTTGAAAGCCAAATCACATATCGTGATACTACATCACTCTCTTAAGCCTCTGCATCTCTCTCTTGAGCCTCTGCATCCCTCTCTTAAGCCTCCGCATCACTCTTTTCAACCTCTGCATCACTTTCTTAAGCCTCTGCATCCCTATCTTGAGCCTTTGCATCACTCTCTTGAAATCCTGCATCCCTCTCATGAGCCTCTGCATCCCTCTCCTGAGCCTTTGCATCACTCTCTTAAGCCTCTGCATCCCTCTCTTGAGCCTCTACGTCACTCTCAAGAGCCTTTGCATCCCTCTCTTGTGACTCTGCATCACTCTCTTAAGCCTCTGCATCACTCACGTAATCCTCTGAATCACTCTCGTGAGCCTCTGCATCACTCGCTTGAGCCTCTGCATCCCTTCTAAGCCTCTGTAGCACTCTCTTCAGCCTCTGTATCACTCTCTTAAGCCTCTGGTTCCCTCTCTTGATCATCTGCCTCACTCTCTTAAGCCTCTGCATCACTCTCTTGAGCCTCTGCATCCCTCTCTTGAGCCTCTGCAACACTCTCTTCAGCCTCTGCATCACTCTCTTAAGCCTCTGAATCCCTCTCTTGAGGCCTCTGCATAACTCTCTCGAGCCTCTGCATCATTCCCTTGATTCTCTGCATCACTCTCGTAAGCCTCTGCATTACTCTTTTGATCCTCTGCATCCCTTTCTTGAGCCTTGCAACACACTTTTCAGCATCACTCTTGAAATCCTGCATCCCTCTCATGAGCCTCTGCATCCCTCTCCTGAGCCTTTGCATCACTCTCTTAAGCCTCTGCATCCCTCTCTTGAGCCTATGCGTCACTCTCAAGAGCCTCTGCGTCCCGCTCTTGTGACTCTGCATCCCTCACTTGAGCCTCTGCTTCCCTCTCTTGAGCCCATGCATCCCTCTCTTGAGCCTCTGCATCCCTCGCTTGAGTCTCTGCATCACTCACGTAATCCTCTGAATCACTCTCTTGAGCCTCTGCATCCCTCTCTTGAACTACTGCATCGCTCTCATCAGCCTCTGCATCCTTCTTTTGAGCCTTTGCATCACTCGCTTTAGCCACTGCAACCCTCTCTTGAGCCTCTGCATCACTCTCAAGAGCCTCTGCATCACTCTCTTGAGCCTTTGCATCACTCTCTTGAGCCCCTGCATCCCTCTCTCAAGCCTCTGGATCACTCTCTTGAGCCTCTGCATCCCTCTCTTAAGCCTTTGCATCACTCTCTTGAGCCTCTGCATTCCTCTCTTGAGCCTCTGCATCACTCTCTTCAGCCTCTTCATCCCTCTCGTGAGCCTCTGCAACACTCTCTTCAGCTTCTGCATCACTCTCTTTAGCCTCTGAATCCCTCTCTTGAGGCCTCTGCACAACTCTCTCGAGTCTCTGCATCACTCTCTTGATCACTCTCGTAAGCCTCTGCATCACTCTCGTAAGCCTCTGAATCACTCTCTTCTCATGAGCCTCTGCATCACACTCTCTATCAGCTCTGCATCCCTCTCTCAAGCATCACTCTCTTGATCCTCTGCATCACTCTCATAAGCCTCTGCATCACTCTCGTAAGCCTCTGAATCACTCTCTTGAGCCTCAGTATCACTCTCCTGAGCCCCTGCATCCCTCTCCTGAGCCTCTGCATCACTCGCTTAAGCCTCTGCATCCCTCCCTTCATTCTCTGCATCACTCTCTAGAGCCTCTGCATCATACTCTTGAGCACTCTCTTGAGGAGTTCAAGAGAGAGATGCAAAGGCTCAAGAAAGGGATGCAGAGGCTTACGAAAGTGATGCAGAGGCTCAAAAAAGGATGCAGAGGCTCAAGAGAGTGATGCAGAGGCTGAAGAGAGTGATGCAGACGTTCAAGAGAGTGATGCAGACGCTCAAGAGAGTGATGCAGAGGCTTAAGAGAGGGATGCAGAGGCTCAAGAGAGGGATGCAGAGGCCAAGAGAGGGATGCAGAGGCTCAAGAGAGGGATGCAGAGTCTCAAGAGGGATGCAGTGGCACAAGAGAGGGATGCAGAGGCTCATGGAAGTGATGCAAAGGCTCAAGAGAGGGACGCAGAGCCTCTGCATCTCTCTCTTCAGCCTCTGCATCCCTCTCTTGAGCCTCTGCATCACTCTATTGAGCCTCTACATCCCTCTCTTGAGCCTCTGCATCCCTCTCTTAAGCCTCTGCATCACTCTCTTGAGCCTTTGCATCACTCTCATGAGCCTCTGCATCCCTCTCTTAATCCTTTACATCCCTCTCTTGAGCCTCTGCATCCCTCTCTTATGCCTCTGCAACACTCTCTTCAGCCTCTGCATCACTCTCTTAAGCCTCTGCATCTCTCTCTTGGGCCTCTGCATCCCTCTCTTAAGCCTCCGCAACACTCTTTTCAGCCGCTGCATCACTTTCTTAAGCCTCTGCATCCCTTTCTTGAGCCTTTGCATCACTCTCTTGAAATCCTGCATCCCTCTCATGAGCCTCTGCATCCCTCTCCTGAGCCTTTGCATCACTCTCTTAAGCCTCTGCATCCCTCACTTGAGCCTCTAAGTCACTCTCAAGAGCCTCTGCATCCCTCTCTTTTGACTCTGCATTCCTCACTTGAGCCTCTGCATCCCTCTCTTGAGCCCATGCATCCCTCTCTAGAGACTCTACATCCCTCTCTTGTGACTCTGCATCACTCTCTTCCCTGGAAACACAAACCGAAACTGTCTCTATTTTCCGCTTGTTACAACTTGTAATAAAGTTGTTACATCTTGGCTTAACGTGTTTATGACGGATTAGAACGTTGTTACAACTTGCTATATTGGTTGTTATAACTGGTTAGGAGGTGTTAAAACTTGTTCGAACGTTGTACCAACGTCGTAGTTTCGGTGTGTGTTTGGCGGGTTAAGCCTCTGCATCACTCACGTAATCCTCTGAATCACTCTCTTGAGCCTCTGCATCCCTCTCTTGAACTCCTGCATCCCTCTCATGAGCCTCTGCATCCTTCTATTGAGCCTTTGCATCACTCTCTTAAGCCACTGCATCCCTCTCTTGAGCCTCTGCATCACTCTCAAGAGCCTCTGCATCCCTCTCCTGTGCCTCTGCATCCCTCACTTGAGCCTCTGCATCCCTCTCTCGAGTCTCTGCATCCCTCTCTTAAGCCTCTGCATCACTCTCAAGAGCCTCTGCATCACTCTCTTGAACCTCTGCATCCCTCTCTTGAGCCCCTGCATCCCTCTCTTCAGCCCCTGCATCCCTCTCATGAGCCTCTGCATCCCTCTCTTCAGTCTCTGCATCCCTTTCATGAGCCTCTGTATCATTCTCCTAGGCCTCTGCATCACTCTTTTGAGCCTCTGCATCACTCTCTTGAGTCGATATATACAACAAAAGAGAACTTCTCCCCTTTTCAATATCTTACTCAGTATTTGAACGAGAAACAAATAGTTGATGGAAAGTGAAGTATTTAAGGTTTTTTCTTATCATTTATGTGTTTGCTTCATTTTTATTGTATATATAATGAATTAATAACAATAAACTGAAAATTAACAAAAACGTGGAAAACGGCAAAATATTGCCTAATTCGATGATATTTTGTTTAAGGGGGCTTATCATCGCAAAAATTCGGAAAAATCGAATCTTTTTGAAAAATTTATAAAAATACTACAACGTTCTGGCAACACTTTGGCGCAAACCCGAGAATGTTATGATATAAATTAAAGTATTTATGGTACATTTCCATGCGTAATTGTGCAGAATCCGGTGCCCCGCGGCTGTGGCGCGCCAAGAGTATTGCGTCATATGTTCTAAACGTCAATTTTTTCGTAATAACGTCGGAAATAACTCTGTATATATGACAACAAATATACACTCAATGGCAACCGTCTGCTTGTGCAGGTGGGTGAGACTACCAGTCACATGTTGTGTCCTGTTGAGAGTGGAGGGTGTTGATGCGCACTCCATTTTTGCTCCTGGAATCTCGCTTTTGTAGCGTCTAGCGCACAATGACCTATAAACGGAAGGGTCTGAATGCAAGAGTAGCCAATTTGACACGCGGTCGCCGTCGTTGGCTGGAAAGGAGAGACGCTGTAGCACAAGGGAGGTTATTATCAAGTGAAGCCCTCCCCGCCTCACCTGTGAGAGGCATGACGCAGCAGCCACACCCTGCTTCGACCCTCCTCACACATCCTCAGCCCCTCGATGTGTATGGACCGGCCACGACAGTGCCATCTACATCTGGTGTGGCAGTGCCATCTACATCTACTGCTGTGGCTGGTGTGGCAGTGCCGTCTACATCTGGTGTGGCAGTGCCATCTACATCTGGTGTGGCAGTGCCATCTACATCTGGTGTGGCAGTGCCATCTACATCTACTGCTGTGGCTGGTGTGGCAGTACCGTCTACATCTGGTGTAAGTCATACAAGTCGAAGTCTGGTAATATGTATGTGCAGGATATATATATGTATATATATTTTTTTTTTTTCAATTTTTTTTTTCGTTTGTTATCAGGGGATGTGCATGGAACTTGCACACCTTGCTCAATGGATGCCTATCTGCAAGGGTGCCATTATGAACGAAATCGGTCGATGACACACTCGACTACAGGTGGCCGAACTTTGATCTTATTTTACTCAGGTAAGTAATTTACAACTTCAAGGTGTTTCTCAGCTTTCATTTATTAATCAATTAACATGCAAATTACACCTTATATGTAGGGTTTGTGCTTCTACAATCCTATTGAGACATTTTAGTCCAAAGTCTATTTGTTGATTTTATAAAAATTTATAAACATCAAATATTGCATATTTTGGAAGGGTAACTTTGAATAATTATATTATTGCACTAAACACTTTTTTTGATAATAAACTGCTCAATAGAATCCTTTATTATGTGCTAAATGTAATATCTGATTGTTATAGAAATATTTTTGTTGACACATGTGTTCCCTGAATTATTTGAAAATGTTGAAATTCGTTGCATATACGTTGTGTATTTTTTTTCTCCTTTTCTGTTTAGGGTGTGATGCTGAAACTTGGACCAGTTTGCAGCTCTTTCTATAACCATTTCATAAATAAATTTATAAACAAATTGAACATTTTTACGAAACCCGTAATATGCCACCTTAAATCACATAGAGGAAAAAGGGATGATAAACGTCAAAATATTGCTAAATTCGATGATATTTAGTACAAAACAAAATGCAAGAAAACTTGCTTAAAAATGCAAAATTTGCGAAATTTTGAGATTTGAAGGCCAAATCACATATCGTGATACTACATGAAGTATTATCGAAATATTGGTAAAACGAATATACTTACGAAAAGTCACACTACAACGTAAAAAAATGCTATATTCCAAATTTGAGGATTTTAAACTTCAAATCATAGAGCGAGGTTTCGTATTATTTTGATCCAAGAAAGGACATATGACAATGTTGTTTCTAATACAAATGATAAAACCAATGTGTTTTCATTAGAATTAACTAAAATGTTCCTGATTTTCCGTTTATATTACCGATGGAAGATGTACACGTTAAACCGTTCTAATCCGGCTGAAACGTCGATATATGCAATAAAAACCGAACTTCTCACCTTTTCAATATACTACACAGTATTTTAACGAGAAACAAATGGTTGATTGAAAATGAAGTATTTAAGGTTAATTTCTAATCAATTATGTGTTTGCATCATTTTTATCGTATATTTAATGAATTAATAACAATAAACTGAAAATTCACAAAAACGTGGAAAATGGCAAAATATTGCTTAATTCGGTGATATTTGGTTTAAATCACATAAAGTAAAAGGGGATGATAAACTTCAAAATATTGCTAAATTCGATGATTTTCGTACAAAACAAAATGAAGAAAACTGGCTTAAAATGTAATATTATGCGACATTCTG